ACAGCAACCACAAAGAGTATGGCATCCTACCGGGAGTTTTTGTTAAGTCAAAAAGGATAGTGAGTGGAATCATGAAAAATATTCAATGAATCAAAAAATGGAAAAAGAAATAATAAATGGGACAAATAGAAAACAAAGAAGCTGATAGATTTAAGCTTAACCACATGAATAATCATATTAAAAGTAAATAATCTAAAAAAAAAAAAAAAAAAAAAAAAAAAAAAAAAACAACTAAGTGATCTAAATAGCCCAGTTAGAAGACAGAGATTGTAAAACAGCAAGGTGCAATTGTGTGCTACCAACAACAACGACGACAACAAAATCTTAAATATAAAGACACAAATAGTTTTAAAAATAGAATAAAAAGATATAAAAGTTATAAATAAATATTAGTGTTTAGAGTGTATAAATCTAAAGGAAGCTGAAGTGTTAACATCAAGACAAAATAGATGTCAAAGCAAAGAATATTAGCAGAGATTATTAAAGTCATTTCATAACAAGATTAAAGTTAACTCATCAAGAGTACAGAAAAATCTTAGACATTTATGCCCTTATTAACAGAGCTACAAAATACATGAAGCGAAAAACTGATAGAACATCATGAAGAAATAAACAAATTCAAAACTATAGTCATAGGTTGCAATACCCCCCTCTCAGTAACTAATGGAACAAGGAAACAGAAAATCAGTAAAAATATACACGACTTGAATAACACTACCAACCAACTTTACCTAATAAATGTGTATAGACCCTTCTACTCAACAGCAACATAATATGCATCCTTGTCAAATACACATGGAGCATTTACCAAGATAGGCCATATTCTGAGCCATTAAAAAGTCTGAATAAATTTGGAAGGATTCAAGTCATACAAAGTATCTTATCTGATCACAATGAAATTAAATTAGAATCAATAACAAAAAAAAAGGCCAAAAAATCCCGAAATATTTGGAAACTAAATTACACATGTGTATATAACAAATAGGTCAAAGAAAGAAAACAAAAGAGAAATTAGGAAGTATTTTTAACATAATGAAAATGAGAACACTGCATATTTTGGGGGGGGGATTTTTTGTGGGATTCTGCTACACGAGTACTTAGGTGAGATTTATAGCACTAAATACCTATATTACAAAAAAGAAAAGCTCTCAGGTCAATGATCTTAACTTTTACCTTAAGGAATGAGAAAAAGAAGAGATAATTAAACACAAAGTAAGTAAAAGATTAAAACAATAAGAACTAAAAAGAAATCAATAAAATATAAGTGAAAACAACAAAGAAAAATCAATGAAACCAAAAGCTGGTTCTTTAACCAGATCAATAAAATTGGTAAACCTCTAGGCAGACTGACAAGGCAGATGAGAGAAGGGACACAAATATGCTCAACAGCATTAATCACCATGGAAATGCAAAACAAAACCACACTGAGATACCATGATATCCCAATCATAATGACTGAACTTCAAAGACTGCCCATATGAAGTATCGGTAAGAAGGCATAGCAACTAGAACTCAAACACTACTGTTGGGAATATAAAAGGGTACAACCACTTTGGAAAAGTGACCGTTTCTTTGAAAGTTAAATATACCCATCATATGATCTAGTTATTCCAGTCCTAGGCATCTCCTCCAGAGAGAAATGAAAGCCTATATTCTATACACAAAGATTAGTAAACAAAATTCATAGCATCTTTGTTTATAACAGCTCAAAACTGGACACAACCCAAATGTCCATCAGTAAGTGAATGAATAATCAAACTGTGATATATTTGTGCAAATGGAATAATACTCAGCAATAAAAAAAAAGTGGTGAACTATTAATACATGCTAAACATAGGTGAATCTAAAAATAATGACACCGAATAAAAGAAGCCAGGCCCAGAAAAAGAATACAAACTTTATGATGACATGTATATTAGATTCTAGCAACTGCAAACTAAACTATAGTAACCGTAGATCAGTGATGGCCTAGACAAAGAGAATGACAAGGTCAGAAGGGAGGAATTACAAGAAAATTTGGAAGGAAGGCTAATATGTTCATAATCTTGAATGTAGTTATAGCTGCACAGGTGTCTAAGTCAAAACTTTTCAAACTGTAGACTTAAAATGCATGCAATATTCTGTATCTCAACTATACTTCAATTAAGCTGTTAAAAATTCAAAGCTAATTAAAAGATTAATGGACAACTGTGAGTAAATACATACATAAATGAAAAGTTGGTTTCTTACCAGTCATTCACACTAATGAAGATAGGAGACATTAATTTATTTGGAGCTTGGTAAAAACATCAATGAAGGCAAAAAGAATCCATTTGAATCTACTTTATTATATCTAAAATTAATAGAATTTTAGAATTTAGATATTCTAAATAAAATGTACCTAGAATACACTACATGGTTTTTTTTTTAAGAAAACAAGATGTAAGAAAACAAGATGCTGTGTTTCCAACGAATTACAATACATGCATACAAACAAAAAAGCAACATAGGACTTTCCCTTGCTAGTATAATTCCAGATCTAGGAGAATTCCAGTTTTGAGGTTCATTCTGCCCAGTGTAAATTTTGATGCCCTTTGGTTCCTATGTTACACAATCAAATGAGAATATATTTGTTTGACTTGAGGTGTTTTCTATTTGTGGTTCAGTTTGAATAGGATTGAGAATTTCTGGTCACTTATGCCCAAGCTCTGCAGAAGCGGAGTTACACTGGTGGCGAGTTCACGGGGGAACTGCACTCGGTACATGTTACAGTCCTCATTTTATCCAGCTACAGTTGTAATTCCGCTCTGAAATTCGGTGCATGGAAAATGGAAAAAGATTAGGCTGCTGGAGAGAGGGATAAAGTAGGTTACATCTGGTTCTAGGATTTTTCTTTCAAACAAAATAAAAAATTGCATGAGATGCCTTGTGTTATTTTTCTTAATCCTGCTCACTTTCCTGGGTAGAATAATAAATCCCCTTTCCTGCCTTGCCATCTTTCTAGCCACATAGAGGTTACACATTAAAAAATACTCTTAAACTGAAGTAATCAGGCCAAATACCACTTTCACATACAAAGCCTTTGAAATATAGAACACGCAAATTCAAGTTGATGTTGTTGGAGTGCCTCAAAAAACATTACCAAGAGCAGGCCTTCAGTTGATGTGTCTCATATGTTTATACATATTTTAAAATGTGTATCTTCAACATTTAATGCCTTGTACTCTTATGTATAAATATCCTTTGTGTCAAAAATTTTTCAAAACTATCACAAAAACTACATTGGAAATGTGGGGTTTTTTTAATTTTTTTAAATGTTTTTATTTATTTTTGAGACAGAGAGAGACAGAGCATGAGCAGTGAAGGGGCAGAGACAGGGGGAGACACAGAATCCGAAGCAGGCTCCAGGCTCTGAGCTGTCAGCACAGAGCCCAATGTGGGGCTCAAATTCACGGACTGTGAGATCATGACCTGAGCTGAAGTCGGTTGCTTAACTGATTGAGCCACCCAGGCACCCCTGGAAATGTGGTTTTTTACAGATTTGCTTTGTCTGTCTGCATAGGGACATTCTCTGAGTGTTTCCTATCCACCTTTATGTACTTGTCTCTCTTTGCCCCCAAACACTGAAACAGAAACAGAGTTGCAGTAAAGAACTCAAAGGCTTTGAAATCAAAGGACCTGGCCCAGCCCCAGAACCACCACTAACTTCAGGCTTACACTGCTGCTCCTTACCTCTCTCTGCCTGTTTCTTTAAAACAATACATGAGAATGATATTCACAGGATTGTAGCGAGGATTAGTTCAAAGGAATTGGGTAAAACTTTTAGCCAAGAGCCCAGCAGGTATTGAGGACTCAAAACAAAACAAAACAAAACAAAACAAAACAAAAAAAAAAAACAAACTAGCTCTACCTTTAAACTGCAAAAAGTTTAGGACAGGACCCATAACTATAAATGATCTCATCACATAGCAACGGGACTACTTGTGCCCTAACAGGAATAGAATACTTGAAAATTATTACTTGAGCAAAAGGAATATTTCTTTGAAAGGCAGAGAAAGCCTAAAAAGAATAATATAATTAAAATGAAAAGACCTAGTTTACTTTTTAAAGTTTGCTTGCTTCTTTGTTTGTTTAAGTAAATTATTTATTTATTGAGGCACGGCTCAATCTCATGAGCCGCAAGATCATGACCTGAGCCAAAATCAAGAGTCAGATGCTTAACCCAAGCATCCCCAAAAAACCTAGTTTAAATTCCACCTTTGGGGCGCCTGGGTGGCTCAGTCGGTTGGGCGGCCGACTTCGGCTCAGGTCAAGATCTCGCGGTCCGTGAGTTCCAGCCCCGCGTGGGGCTCTGTGCTGACTGCTCAGAGCCTGGAGCCTGTTTCCGATTCTGTGTCTCCCTCTCTCTGACCCTCCCCTGTTCATGCTCTGTCTCTCTCTGTCTCAAAAATAAATAAACGTTAAAAAAAAATTACAAAATAAATAAATAAATAAATTCCACCTTTGGCATCTTAATTAAATAACTAATTCTGGTTGATTTGTTTATTCTACTAATCATCTCATAGTCGGTAAAAGGGACATGACCTGTTAATGGTAAATTCTTGGTGAATACATACTGAGAGATTGAATCTCAGATATTGTCTATGACAGTGTTTTCTATACGTTTATCTGTCCGACAGTACAAGATTCCTTTCATTTAAGGAAAAGACATAAAATTAAGTGATATTTCTCTATATTCATTCACTAGCAGTCGTGTATTTCCCTCTAATGTTAAATACACGGAGCAAATGTGGCTCTGCAGGACATTAATTGCATTAGAGCCTGAAGTGCAAAATTTAAAGCTCACGAGGATTCCAAGAGCGATTAGAGACCCAATGAGAACCCTAGATCCATTGACAGAAAACCAGGGCTGAACAGCACCATGCATTTGACTTCTGAAACATTATCTTGAAGTTTGTTTTTATTTTTTTCCAAGCAAATATTCCTAGTCCTTTAAAGATTTTTTTTTTTTCATTTCATAGGTCTCCCGTTATGGCTGGAGGTCTCTTTGCTGTGGATCGAAAGTGGTTTTGGGAGTTGGGTGGCTATGACCCAGGTTTAGAAATCTGGGGAGGAGAACAATATGAAATCTCTTTTAAGGTAAGTTACCAAGACCCTCTTCGCACTATGTCCACATAATGTCAATGATTCCCGTAAAGAGTCATCATTCTGTTTCGTGACCTATATTGTGAGATAACAACGAAAATAGATATGTCACCTTTCCAAGCCAGCTTTGGGATGACAGAGCTGCTTCCCTCTGATGTTTCAGCGAGATGTAACCATGCCATGAAAGAAATCATTCAAAATCCCGTTTGCAGGCAGGAGACTTGGTGTGCCAATAGACCTGCTGCTCCACCAACAAAGCATCCCTTCCACAGAACACACAGAGTGAAGAATTGAAACAAAAGAAATTGGATTATTGGAATTTTCTCCCTTTGTATTTATTTTAGAAATAGTGGTTCATATTTTGATCATAACCAGTTATTCCAAAATTTCAGTTAACAGAAGAGTAACTTAAAAATATGAATAACACATTAAGGCTCTTCTTCATAGAATTCCATAATAGGTGAATGTTTTTACTTATTTCTTTCTGAAACTGCCGAGGTCTCTACTTGCTTTGACCATAAACGCTCAGCAAAATTATATACTCTATAACATACATACATGTTACATACATCATGTGTACATACATATGACAGAATGCAAATTTTAGGGTTTGTGAATGAAAAATATCTGCCACAACACGTGAAGACCAGAAGAACAAAGCAAAATAAACTGTGTGAAAGGTTGTACTCCAAACCTCCAAGATGCATTTTTTTCCCAAAAACAGTCTCATTAAGGAAAAAAAAAACTTCATTTTCTTTATGATTGTCATTATTTATACAGAAGATGGATTTATTTTGTAAGGTTTATCATACAGAAGTTTCTTAGTAAATAAATCATTTTTCCTAATTACTTCCATCATAAAATCAAACCAATTCTTGCTGAGAAAAAAAAATGTATACTGAAAATAGTAAAAGTCAGGCTTAAGAATCCAGCCAAACTCTCTAAATTTATACATGGAAAGAAAATGATAAAACTGATCTTTATAAAACTGTAATGGCTATCTTCAATATGTTAACAAAAATGTTACATTGTCCTCAAAGTGTCAGAAAATAAATATCCCTAAAGAGAAACTCAGGAGGCTTCAGGACATCTAGAAGTTTCCATCTCACTCTGCTGGCAGTAATCCTTGAAACACCGTTTAGTAAATTCATGTTTTTCTTCACCGTCTTTCAAAGCCATCTAATTTCATATCTGAGGTACTTTTTAAAGACCTTTTTGTAGATATGTGGTATTAAGTCCTTCAAGTTGCCAATTTTGTTTGTTTGTTTCTCTGCTGTAGTAATAGCTGCACACTTATCACTGTGTATATGGCATAAGGTAGTATAATAGTTAATGATGATAGAAGTGGTACCTATTCCATTTACTTAATGGTATGTGACAGATGCTGAGCTAAATGCTTTATATACATTGTCCAATTTAAAGTCACATCTCTAAGAGGCTGGTGTTATTCCATTTTACAAAAAAAAACAAAAAACAAAAAACTGGGGTTCCTGGGTGGCTCAGTCGGTTAAGTGACCGACTCTTGATTTCGGCTCCGGTCTTGATCTCACGGGTTTGTGAGTTCAAGCCCCCCGTCAGCCTCCACGCTCACAGTACAGAGCCTGCTTGGGATTCTTTCTCTCTCCCCTCCCTGCTCATGTGCGTGCATGCATGTGCGTGTACACTCTCTCCCTCTCAAAATGAATAAACTTAAAAAAAAAACACAACTGAGACTTAATGTTTTAAAGATTTTTTTTTAAATACTTATTTTGAGAGAGAGAGAGACAAGCTGGGGAAAGGGTCAGAAAGAGAAAGAGGGAGAGAGAATCTTAGGCAGGTTCCATGCTCCGTGCAGAGCCTGATGTGGGGCTTGATCATGATCTAAGGCAAAATAATCTGATGCTTAACTGACAGAGCCACCCAGGTGCCCCTAACATGTTAAAAACTTTAGACTACAAATTGTTTTAAGCTTTAGACTACAAATTGTTTTAAGCTTTAAAGATTATGTACATTACCTAGTGCTGCTTTGGAATTGAAATGCTCCATCTCTGCTTAACTGCAGGGAATACAGAACCGGTCCTACCATAGTCCTCACTGTGAACCTTTTGATTTCTATCTAGTTTCCTCTCACTGAAAAAGCGAGTATCTTCATTATGGTCAATAGCATGACAGTAAACTTACCGCTGACCCTGGCAAAATAATATTGATTATCATATATGGCTCAAAGCTAGGTGCAACGTTTGCAATAATACCTTCAACTGGAAAACGAATATTACATTTGACCCCAAGATTAAGGGGAAAAAATGGCATTGCTGTAGCTGCAACATCTTCAGAATTCAAGAGATGCGTTTTACTTTTCACTGATCAAGATTTATTTTGCTTAAATACTGTTAGTTCATGGATTCTTCAAGTTTAAAATGTTATTATGAACATTTCTATTAAGTGGGAGGTATCTGGCTCTGAATAACGAGCTGGATGATGGATAAAATTCCTATGGAAAGTCTGGAGGATTTGCGTAATATACATTTGCATTCTAAATCAAAAGGCATTTTTTTTTTAACAAACGTAGACTTGCATCTTTCGTTTCTGTATCACTTGTATCTATCACACCTCTTCTGGGTGACCTGAGATTTTATTACCCCATTTCCTATTTTTCAGTTATCTGTCATTCTGAAGGATATAATTGGAATGCAGCCCTGTCGTCTTTGTCTAGAAACCATGGCAACAGCACTGGAAGTTCAGGACTAAATTGCCCCAGGTTGCTTGGTTGGAATGACAGATTCTTTGGCAACAGCTATTTCTTACAGGGTCCCATTTCATACATATCCCTTCATTCTTCTTGCTATTGTGTGCTGACCTTGGGGTTCCTGTCCCTCCCTATTAGTATTTGTAACATGAGGGGGACAAACTTAAACAGGCTTTGGTAGATTTGCATTGAAGCAAGAAGAATTTTCTCCATGGGAAAGGAATCAAAAGAATTATACACACATAGCTCTGAGAAATGGTATTAAAAAGAAAAGAAAATCAAACATTTGCATTATGTTTAATTTTGCAGGGTAAAGCACTGTAAGATTTACACTGGGCAGCACTTGAAATTCAGGAAGTATGTATGGATCACTAAGAGTTTACTTGTCTATCTCACATTGTAATAAAGAAATTGTTTTAAGTGTAGATTCAAATGCTCTGATTCAAAAGATTTCTATCTATGGTCATCATCAGGCATCATTGCTTGCTGTTTGCTCCTTAACCAAAGAAACGTTTCACCACAGTTTATGACAAGGCTCTATCACTAAATAAACTATTTCTAGAAAATCCTGCTTCATATTAAGGGCTTGGTTTCTGGTCAAACAGCCTCTGGTTAAGAGTGCTCCTCAATTTTCTTTCTCTGTAAATCTCCTTCCTTTTTCTAACATCTGAGTAGATCAGTGGATTTCATCCCATAACAGAAAAGCCAACACAAGTGTAATTTTCAGGAGGCAGTTGAGGAAAAGAGCTTTCTGGGGGAAATGATCTGTCTGCCTAGTCTCTTTCAGTCTCTTTCAGAATGAATCTGAACTCCTGCATGGCCCAGAATTATCCAGCCGTCTTTCAAACGTTGCTAGGTTAGCCAGCTGCTAGGGAGGGGAAAGTGGCAGTCAGTCATTCAACAAGCTTTTATTGGGCATCTAATTTATTCCAGGACTAGCTCCAGGTACTCAACTTGGAATCGCACCTGGAAACAAAGAGGAAACCACAACAGACAGCACAGTGTGGCATAAAAGAGATAACCCACACCTTTAAATGCCGTCTACCATTTAAGTTATTGAAATAATAGTAAACCATTATGACTCTCTGATTTTTCAGAGTGCATTTTTACATCCATTCCCCAAAGATCAAAGTCCAAATGTTAGCATTTCCAAAAGATATGTCCTTTGATTCCGGAAAACTCTTTCCAGAAAATAAAACTGAGCAGCACACACCAAGTAGGCACCCACAAGAAATTTAGGCTCCATTTCACCCATTCTCTGGCATGAGATATAATGCTTAGAACCAGGTAGGAGAGCATTAAATTTGGGCTGGGCTGCCCTTTTCCACCCCCAGGGGCTTATCAACATGGTCCCACATGGACCCAGTATTTCTTGGGCATCTAGAGTATGGCATGAGCCCTTGGCCACGAGCCTCAGCTATGCACAAACATGCAAGCCTCCAGATGAGATGACTACGGCTACCCTACGTCCGAGAATGAATCTGACAAATCTGGGAACCCCTACGACCTTTTCAAAACCTCTCTTAAGGGTCAACATGCCACAGAATCACCTTTGTTATGTACTGTCATCCTTCCTATGTGTTGAGTGTAAGATTCAGGCATTTAGGGATATCATTCGTCTCATAACCTTTCAGCTCTTTTCAGTCCTGAATTCATTCAACAGATATTTATTTATTAATTATAATGTGCCACCTCTGGGCTAAACTCGAGATGCAAAGATAAATGCGAGAAGATTCTCATTCCGGTGGAGCTTACTTTCCAGTAGCAGCCTAGAGAATTAACTCAACACAATTACTCATCATCAGTATTATTTGGAATATATTTTATTTCCATACCACAGTAATAATTCGGGACATATGCAATAGCCTGTTTGCTAGCCTCCTGTGCTATATTCTTTCTCCTCTTTCAACCTATATCCACATTCTTTTATTCCCCAAGTTGCTTTATTTGCCTCTCCTAAAAATTCAGTTCTCCTAATTACCACACAAATCAAATGAATGTTCTGAATCATAAGCCATGAGAGTTTTCATCAATTATCTGCCTCACCTGTCTGAATCTACACAGTAAACCAACTTAACTAGTGATTTTCTTTCCTTTCCAGAAGATAGAAACTCATACTTCCATTTCTACCCTTATTTATTACAGAGATTTTAACTAACCAGTCAGACTTTAGTCTGTTCCTGAGATATCAGCTTGTTCTCTCTACAAATATGAATCAGCAACCTCCACCATGAGTCTATGTACCATGCAAGCTAGACTCTGCAGAAAA